CACGACGGATGAGCTCAGGACTCATCTGTCCTTGTGTTTGGCGAAGGACTCTGCCAGCACAGACTCAGTGTTAATGCAAGCATGGCTCTCCAGTCTGCAGTCCTGCTATTTATGTGTATTTAATAGAAAATGTGTTTGCTTCTGGGTTTTTTTTTATTGTATATAGAGCAGCATGCACCTGCCCAGCGCAGAGCCAGGAGAATGTGGGATCTGCTGTAATTCCAATTCTGGAATGATATTTAACACTTGCCAGTTTTATTATTTAAATTCTGGGTGTTGAACTTGCAGAGGGTTCTGAGCACTCTCTGGGTGGATCAGTAACACAGACCAAATGCTGTTTTCCAAGGCGTTTGCTTAAGGCATATTTTCAGTGGCAATACTGACCTGTGTGTACTGTGAAAAGAAATGCCCATCTTTGCACCATACTGCTGCTATGTACACTTGTAGAAAGCTATTTAAAGGAGAGAAATCCTCTTCTAAAAACAATATCAAGCAAGCAAAAGCAGTCTTTATATGGCAGGGAGGTTCTGCTAGCCCTTTTCCAGGGAGACCAGGTCATCTGTCCAGGCCTGAAAGGACCTAAAATAAACCATTCAATATGCAGCTGCTTCAGCACCTTTTTAGTAACAAACACTGCCCTTGGGTTGGTTTCTGAGAGAGTGTTCTGCAAAGGAGAGGACAGGCTCTGTAGAAACACTAAATACTTCCTTTAGATGCAGCAACAAAGAGAATACGAACATGGATTCGGGAGAAGAATGTAACTGGGTTCAGGAGGATGGCAGGGGACAAATAGTGCCTGTCATCCTGCTGCACTCCCTGTGCTGCTTGAACTTACTCACTGAACTGTGGTTGATTTAGGTGCTGTAACATCTGTACCTCCCAAGCCAGTGCAGCACTGAACTGCCTGAGGCTGTGTCTGTCTTTCCCAGCGGTGAAGGCACAGCCTCCCTTTGAGCCAGCACAAAGCCCAAATTAGGCACATCCTTTGGCAGTGTCATCTGAAAATATTGCTCTCCTCCCCCTAAGTGTGCTCATGAGGAAACAGATATGCACCACAGACTTGGAATGGTTTCATCCCTCCTTCTGTTGCTTCAAACTGGTAACATTGCCATGTCACTGTCCTGTGGGCATGAAGAGTAAATTGCAATCTGCATATTTTCAAGAACTTTCACACCAGCTGAGCTGTATCTTCCTGTGTTGACTTCTGCACAGCCCGTGAGGTGTTTTTTGATCCTTTGAACTCTCTGTTTATGAAATGTAAATTCATTTCTATTGAGAGTGGTGCTGGAACCTGCTGGCTCTGAGCAGTGGAGCTGGTTCTGCAGGGGTGAGCAATGGGAGTTCTGCTGCATGAGAAACTCAGATGAAAACAGGAGAGTTTCCTGCCATGGAGCTGAGGGCAAATGCTGTCACTTCCTGTGTGTTGGTGTTTTAGTTTCATACTGGGGAAAGTGGTGGCTGGTTCTGTCCTTTACTGACAAATGCCTTGTGCACGAAGGGCTGCACAATTCTTCAAGGTTTTTCCATAGTAAAAGATGTGCACAGACTTCCAGTTATATTTTTTCCCATATTAAGCTCTTGGGGATTCACAACCTTCGTTAAATCAAAACAAGTTAGGAGAAGAAAGAAGACTTTTCAAGGCTCAAGATCTCTTTAGCCTGCACGTAAAACAGTGAGCATGGAGCCAGCAGAGGATAAAGTTACACAAAATATGTACAATGCACAGTTAGACAGCTCTGTGCAATGCTTATAGTAGACTCCTGGCATGCACTGCCTGAACTTCTTGGCAAAAGGGTTGTGTCTTGTTACACAAGTCCTAAGGGTTCTCCCTTAGGGTGGGCTGTAGTTTGCCTTGTACAGAAAGATTTCAGCGACACCTGTGCTGCAGAAACCTCCTCCCCCCTCCCGGGTTTGGTTTATGACAGCTACAGGCTAGTGATTGCTCCTGAAATCAGACATCTCAGTGCATGGGGGTGTCAAAAGAACCAGGAGATTTGAGGACAGAGCCCAGGCTGTGCAGTGGGAGTATCCCTCATCCTTAAACAGACAAGTGACACCTCCATCACCACAGGGAAAACTTTAATTTACAGCAGTAGAGATGATTTCATCAGTGCATGACTATTTCCTCCCGTGTGCATCAATATTTGCATCTGTCATGTATTAAATAAGCTCTAAAAGTTTATCATAGGACTGACCTAACATTAGGTATAGTAACTGCTTGGAATACTTCTCACTTTGAGTGCTGTAAATTAACTATTTCCCACAACATCCCATTGCTCAGTTGGGAGCAACTGAAGTATTTACATTGCTAAATGCCACTTTCCATTCCAGCAGGAGGCCTCGAAGAAGGTCTCTGAAGGTGCAGCTCTGCAGGGCTGGGCAGGGGTAGTGGGTGCTCCATCCACGCTCAAGGTGCAGCCTGAGGTCAACTCAAGCCATTGCCACCAAGTAAACTCACTCACAAATGTCAAGAGAGAACTTCACTTCTGGCTCATCAAAGGTGCCTGAAAAGCTGCTCTAACATCGCTTCTAAAAGCAGCTTTTCTGCCTGGAAAAAGACAGTAAATTGTAGCTATAACATGCCACAATTATTCTGCAGAGGAAAGAAACCTACACTAAGTCATCTAGTAGTAGTTGCTGCTCATTGCAGGTTAAATAGTGAGTTGTTTGCAGTTGGAAGCAAAAGCCACATGGGCAAGGGCACACAACACCAGTTCACTGTGCTGAAGAGCTTTGAAAGCTTGAGAACAATGTAACCAGAGTGCAAAAATAGTAAAAACAATAAAAAATTTAAAATTATTCTAGGAATACAAACATGTAATTAAAACACCAAAATCTTTAAACTCTTTATAAAACCTGAATCACTTGGCTCTTGCGCAGTCCAGATCATAACACTGAGCATACTCTCCTCTTCCTGTGGCACTTGGCTTTCTTCATGGCGTTCAGGGCGATGGTTGTGGCTTCCTTAAAAACATTTTCTATGTTTTCACGGCATTTTGCTGAGCATTCCAGATAAACCTCTGCATTAATCTGCTGGCAGGCTGCCTCACCCTGGAGAGGACAAAGAGGTAACAACAGGTGTAAGGCTGATGGATGGGAGGGGGAAGGTGAAATGGGAATGATTTTGCACATCTCCATACCACGGGGCCAGGAAGAAAGAGCTGCCTCGGGGTACAGTGCTGGAGTGTGAGTGGCATTGGTAACACACCAGAGCACTGTAAAGAAACTTGGAGTTTTTCCACTGTGTCGATCCAGAACTTGGCCTAAGGGCTCAGAGCACTAAAGGCTCCAAGATGCAGAATCCTGATAGCACAAAAATACCCTCAGTATTGAATTTCTTTAAAATAAATGCTGAGGTAGATGTACTTAAGTAAGAATAAGCATGGTACTTAAATACTGCCTACACGGTGGTATTTTTTTTCAGGCCTGACCTTAACTGTTCCGTGATGTCACCTTTAGTGGCGAATGTCACACGCGAGAGCAGACTCTGGCCTGATGCCTTGCCTCGTTTCGCTGGCACACATGCAAGAACCTTGACTTTTGCTCTGAAGCATCCCAAGGGCTCAGCCAAAACCCTCATACACACGAGCAGGAGCCTGTGTTTCTCAGCCTCACCCAAGTGCATGCAATGGACACAGACTCGAATCAAACACTGCCATGCAATCCTGGTGGTGTGAAATCACCACAGACAAAACACTGCCATTTCTTACTTTGCTTGTGATCCTTTTCCTGTCACTGCAGAGTCATCCCCCAGGTCTGAATGCTTGTGAGCCCTTCACTGTGAATTCCAGGTCTGCAACCCACAGACTCTGCATTTACTCATTGTAAGCCCTGGCAGTGGGGTCCCTTGAGCACTCAGGCTTCTACAGGGGGGATTTTTCTTCGTGTTTAAGCAGTTTGGCTCCTTCCAGCTGTTTGCAAGCTGCAGTGCTGGCAGACAGTGTGCAGCTCCTCTGTGGCTGGCTTTGGAAGCATCACATCGCGGGACTCGGTGCCATCAGCTGTAAGAGACTGAGGTAGTGTATATTTCAGGGGAGAAAACCAAGTGAGAGGGCTCACAGGGGAAATAAAGTCTGTACAGCACTCGGGCCCTTGAATGTAATTGCCTGAGCCCTCGGCAGACTGGCCAGAAGTGTCTGGTTTTGCCCTGCCCCTCAGGAGTGAGGGTGATGAAGGGAGTTATTCGTGTGAATGAAGGATGCCCTGCAGCTGTCCACAACGCGAGGGGACAGGATCTTGTGTGCAAGGGAGATGAGCTCCAGGTCCCAGCGTGGTTTAGTGGTGATGCAGTTGCAGTTTATTTTCATGATGTTTAGAAAAAGTGGTGATTCATTCAAGGTCGTAGTGCACTTGACCTTGTTCTCTGGATGTGTGTCTCAAACAGTCCAAGAGCTGCTGTTCCTGCTCTGAGGCGAGAGGAGAAGGTTGGCCTTGGAGTTTAAAAAAAAAAGTTAAAAAAGTGGGGGGCCAGAACAGAGAGATCTTGTGTGACAGGAGACAAGCTGTTCCATCACTGTTGCTGCTGTACCTAGGACAGCTATGCCAGTGACATAACTCTGGTTATAAGTCTCACTGCTTCCTCATACTTACAGCAAAAGCATTTGATAATATGTATTTTCTTAAGATTAGAGACTTCAAAGAAGCCTCTCATGCTAGAGAAGCCTTGCAGGTGTTCTAGCTATTGTCCTTGAAAAGATTTATTTTTAAATAGGGTTTGGAGACATATTTATTCCAGCATGGTCAGTGTTTTTAAGCCTGCAACATGTGTCCAAACATCTCCAGTCTTTATCACAACCCTGATCAAAGAACCAGAGATGGCTGCAATGTAGAGCAAGAAAAATGATGAAGGGAGTCCAACAAACTTGTTAAGGCAATTAGTAACTGTAATAACCCAGCTGTGAAAGGAAACAAGTATGACACGAGCACAGAAGGTGTAGCTAGTAGTGTCTTTTCAGACACCCCACGATATGCTAAAAACTCATGTTTCTCTTTCCTTTGGCACTGAAAACAGATGGTGATCTGGCCACTTCCAAACAGGACTTAGAGAAACCTCTGTTGGTGCTGCCTGTCAACCATTTCTCTCTCTGGACACCGGGCTCACCTGATTTTGGAGTGTCTGTGCCCACCCCTGTGAAGAGCAATGCCCCTGAGGGCTGTCTCTCTGCTCTCACCTGGCTGTAGGTGATGGGCTCCTGCCTGGACGCCCTGAGCCTGCGCAGCTGCTCCTTGTCCTTGCGCAGATCTGTCTTGCAGCCGATCAGCACCACGGGCACCCCTCGGCAGAAGTGATTCACCTCGGGATACCACTGGTGGGAGCAAACAAACCCTGTTTGTTCCCTGGAATCAGAACAATGCAGCCAAGGAACAGGAGCAGCATGTAATAGAAGCTGCAATTTCAGAGTTTTGGAGTAGTTGTTGGGGCCCAATATGCACTATTTCCATTACAGAAGCGTTTAAAAGTCTGACCCAAAGTCAGCTGCTTTATAAAAACATAGTGGCATCTGTCACTATGCCAAAATCCTTATTTAACATCTGTTTAAAGTCAGAGTTGTTCCTCTAAAGTCATATTTAAAACCAGAATTGGACCAAGTCTTTGTTTTGCTGGTGCTGTGTAAGAGAAGACTAACTGCTTTGGAGCGTTACACAAACCCCAGTACGGACAAGCAGTTGCTCTCATCTCCCCTGCAGTCACACATGCATGGGATTTTACCACTGTCTGATCTTCTCAGTGCACTGCAGAGTCGACCCCAGCTCTGAGCACTGAGGAGCCGTGCAGAGGTGAGCTCCAGGCCTAAGGTCTGTGACGCACGAGGAGTGACCTGTGCCTCTACACGCCCAGGGAACAGGGCACTGAAAGCACCAGCACTTTGAATCTGAATCTTGTCATATACCAGCAGAATGTAATCCATTTAAAAGGTTCAGGCAATTAGGAAAGCCTCTTACCTTAGCTGCTACATTTTCATAGCTCGTGGGGCTCATGACATCGTAACAAATTAAGACGACGTTTGTGTTCTGGTAAGACAGCGGTCGGAGCCGATCGTAGTCCTCCTGCCCTGGAACACAGGGAATGCTTTGGGTGAGGCAATCTCTACCTTGAACAAGCAGCATGATGGGAATACTTGAGGCCAAGAACAATGGCACTACAATTGCACAGACTGCACGTTTTTCATACTTGTAAAATTCCTTCCCTGAAGTACAGGAGATTCCCCTTCACCTATGCTTTGGAAAATAAGACATGTCCTTGGCAGGGTGTAACGAAAAACCTGCTTTGTCCAGCTGCTAAGGACTTAGAAGCAGTTTGAAACACCAATTGCCAAGTTGCTGCTCAAAAGCAAAATCAAAGCAAAATCTGGCAGTTGTTGATTAAGACATTTCCAATTTGGCAGTGGCTCCACTCTCCCAAATCCCTTTGCACGTGATGCTGTGAGGAGAAGAAACACTGTGTTTGCCAGACTGAGGTAGCTGAGGTAGAAACCTTAGTGGTGAACTTGCTCTCCCAGCCCAGTGGGCAGAGGGGAAGCAGCAGCCACGCGGTGCCATAGGAGCCACAGGAGCTGCAGGACCCCCAGCACATATCAGGGATGCTGCTGACCCCTGGAAGAGCAGGGCATTGGTCATACTTCTGATCAGGGATATTCTAGCACGTGAGCTGACAAGAGGAAGCTGATTTGCTTCAGACCTGTGCTTTTCCCCTTGATGCGCACACGAGTTAGCAGTAATCACTGTGTCAGGGTTTGAAGGTGTCTTGCTTTGAGAGATTAAGCTCAAGAAAGCAGTAATTCCCAGATATAGTTGGTAGCTCAGGGAAAAATCTCGGTCTTTTTCATTTACTAAGGAGGAAACTGTGATTCAAGCAGTCTATAGATGTATTTGCTACCTGAATGCTGCTGCTGGGGTCAGGTAAGTCCCTGTGACACACCAAATTTACAAAATGAGAACTGGGAATGCTCTTCCTTCCCACAATCACCACAATCCACACACAGCCCAGAAACTGCCCTACAGGGAAGTTACACATCTCAAACCTTCGTATTACTGTTCCAAATGAAGGGATGTGGAAAATTTCAGCATGCCCCAAATTTATAGCAGTGGTTCCTGTCCTGGCACCTGGCTCAGCCCCAGATCACATAGTCATCCCTACTGACATGGTTGTCTCCAGTCTGAAGAACTGCAGATACCAGAAGGCAAATAATTCTACATTTTTCTCTGTCCCTTGATTTAAATGATCAGTTGGGACAGGTTATTCCAAGGCAATCCCTGCTGCATAAACCATCACTCAGTTTGCCTGAGATGCCTGTAAAACAGGAATCTTGTGTTTGGACCACCTTGTGTTTGAGCTTCCACAAGAGCAGTGTGTTCCATGAGGAGGTGCAGAACAAAGAGGGATTGATCCCTCAAGGTTTAATCCTGAAATAATAGACAATTGACAAAATCATGAATGTTGTATAAACATCCAGAGCAAAGACTGTACTGCTTATCCCTTCTTACTCTCCCAATCCATCTACTTGTTTGCAACCAATTTACCATTTTGTCGCTGAGATAATCCTCTAAATGCATTAAACACATCAGGCGCCAAACTTTTTCCCTGCTAACTTCCTCTGTGTATGGTTTTCCCTGTTCAAGTTCAGCCCTCTGAGCTTCTACCAACATAGCTTGTAAAATCAAAAGGGCCTCCAGGCATTGTTGGCAGAGGTTATTGGGAGGCAGACAGGACTGTCCCTGGGGAGAACATGTTTATCTGCTTGGAATTAGGACATACTGCTAAATGAAGACTCTCCTGGATGGGGTAGAAGGAATGTCTTCAACGATGTGACACGGCATGCTGTATTACAAGTCAAAAACTATAGCTATCTCCTGGAGAGCTGCTCCCTCAAATCCAGCTGTGCAGTTCTGGGTTTTAAGCAATGAGGAAATGCTGCTGTATGACACACAGCTCCACGTGCTTTTGGAGTGTGGGATGCAGAGTGCAGAGAGCACAGGAGGAAGGTTAGATGGCAATTTTCAACGCGTGCCACGGTCGGGTGGTCGCGTCGCTCACGCGCAAGGAGACAGAGCTGCTCCTTAAGAGCTCAGATGCAGCTCTGCAGTTGCTGGAGGTGTAAGGGGGCCCAGACCAAGCTGTATCTAAACATAGACACCCCTCTCACTGAAAACAATCCCTTTCACCCCTGTCCTCAAGTGCTGCTGCTGAAATGCATGAAGGGGCCTGGGAGAGTTTTTGTCTGTAAAGCTGCTCAGTCTGTGGTCACAGCTACTTTGGCACAGACTTAGGTCTTCTACTAGGAGAGTTTTAAGAAGAAGGAACAGGGCTGAACCTAAGCAGTAACTGAATGTATATGCAAAGTTCCTGTCTGTGCTTCCTCAAACACAGGTAGCTGTTTTCTTTCCCCAGTTAACAAGAAACATGCTGTAGAGTAGTCAGCTACATGTCTGCCAACACGTGAGTACATTTGGGACTCCTCTGCCTTCCTCAGTTCATTGTAGCATCAGACACCACTTGTCTTTTTTAAAGAAAAAAGCTCCATCTAGGTGAATTGACCTAAAATTTGCTAATTCTTTGCAAAGTTCAAGCTTGTTTATGCCTCTGGGGGATGCTGCATCACCCACATCACTGCAGTCAGGTCCTACAGCAGTGTGGGAGCTCAGGTGATGGTTGAGTGTGAACAGGAGAAGTGAAATAGAGGTCTTGCTTGGTCTCATGTACGTGTTCTTCACTGTCTCCTCTTCCTGACCCCTTTGCCAATTCATTACAAAAGAAGTGCCAGTCTGTGTGTTGCTCAGCCCATAAAGGAGCTCAGCACTCATTGACAGGAGAGGGTAAACGACAGAATCAAGACTTGCCAGCCTAGGAATGACCCATAACTTGCTGCCTGAATAGACAGAAGTGCTGTCCAGGCCACTGTGGCAGGAAAGAAGTCACATCCTGCACCCAGACCAGACCAGTCAACCACTTCCTACTCATGGCCACACGTTGCCTGCAATACTCCACACTTGTGGGTTGGTATTGACACAGAGCTGTGTGATGGCCATGAAGTTGGCACACAGAAATGCTCCCAGCTCTCTTTGGTTTGTTATTCTGCAGGCTCCATGGGAATGGCATGGCTGTTAACCTGCCAACTATGTTTTTTCACCACTCAGTTTCAAAAAAAAACTTGGGAAAGAGACATATTAAGCAGGAAGAAAAGCAGCAGAAGAGGACACTTGGGGCAGGAGGGGCACACTTCCAGGAAAAAGTTGGTGGCTTCTTGTTTTCCTCAGGCACGCCCTCCCTTTCAAAGCTATGAAAAATTACTCATGCATTCCCTGGCTGTTAAAGCTTCTCTTAAGGCCTCTGACGGTTGTGCATCTGTCATCACAGACCTGAAAAACCCTCTGGAGGGTTCGTGTGTGCTTCCTGTCAGGCAGAGTGAGCACCCACAATGATGAGGCATTGCTTCCTCCTCAGCCTCCCCCAGCTCAGCACAGCTCTGTTCTTTGCTCTGACGAAGTCCTTCCCCAAGCAGCACCAGGAACTGAGCTTTGTGTCTGAGCTGTAGCTGAAGACACTGCTTCCTTAGTATGCAAAAATTACAGAGTTAATCTACCTCTCAGTGCCTTTGCCTCTGTCAAGCACAGCTTGAAAAGGAAACTTTTAACTGATGAAGTAGCTGCAAAGCCAGTTTGCACAGCAGACAAGTGATGTTACAAAGCCTTTACACATTGCATGTGTCTTCCACCAGCTTCCTGCAACAGCAAGAGGTGTCTGATGAGGAAGATAGAGCAGCATGGAAGAAAAGTCTCACCAGAAATTCTTACTCTAGTGTATTGTAGGCTAATCCATTAGGTTCATTTGTTACCAAAATTCTTGCCAAGAATAGCTTCCTTAGCTTGAAATGTTTGATTCTTAACACTAGCAGGTTTGTTTGAGCCCTTCTCCTCCAGTAAGTAGGACAAGCTCAAGCTGCACACAAAGAATCCTTCTAACTTTAAACAGCCCACAGAGCTGAACCCGTCCTTTACCTTCCCATGATGCTGAAGATGCAACTCTATTTAGTGTTGCACCAAGCAAGTTCCTAAAAATACCGAAGTCCTTTCTGCAGTGGGTGAATCATGAAGATCCAGTGTTACTTTTTAAGAGCTTTGCCTTCTCCTCCTCTACACTGCTGCATGGCACTTGGCACAAGTCCTTCACCTCAGAAATGGGTTGAAATCCTTTTGATCCCATTTAAATTATTCTATAAAAACCTGAATTATTTTGGAACCTTTCAGACTGAGAAGGAAAACTTCTGTCTTAGGGTTTCAGAGAAGAGCAGGAGAAACCCAAGCAGCTCAGTAGCCTGGGGATGATTCATAAAATATGGCCAATAGCTGCACAGTTAAACCACTGCACTTTAGTACCAAGCTGAATGTTTAGACTCCTCTTCAAGCTGCAGTGGCTGCTGTACACCCACCCAGAGCAGCATCACCCAGCTGAGAGAAGAATGAGCTGCTGCTGTTGCCTGATGATACAACAGAAGTGAGTCAAGAAAGTGAGACACTGACTCCAAACCTGCACCTCCTGTGCTGCATCCATGTGCCAGAGGGACAGCAGCTCTCATCTCCTGAACTGGACACTCCTCTTCCTCTTCTCTCACTGCACTATTTGAACAGGACACAACTCTTGGTCCTAGTGTAACCCTTGAGGAACTCAGCATCAGTTTCATATGATTCAAAACAGGATGGGATTAAAATGTGTGCTCAAGTGAGTCCCTCCTCCACCATAACTTCCAGCTACAGAGAGAGGATGAAGAGCTACTCGAATTGGAGTATGACACACACATGTGTCATAAAACTATGTAAGCAGCTTTGAAACAGAACCACAATTCAGGTGGTTCCCCCTCTCAAGAAAACGCCTTAACTAAAGTGGCAATCTCTCCCTTTCTTTGCCCTCCGTAATCCTACCGTGTCTCATGCAAAGTGAAAGAAATTAACAGGAAGGGAGGAGACAAGTGTCAACAGTCTCTAGAAACTTGTAGCCTTGTGGCCATGATACTTTTTTTCGAGGTTAAACACCTTGGGTTTCAAAGTTTCCAGATGA